ATTCATTCATTTTCTATTAAAAGACTATATAGAACTCTACATCCGTGACCTTATATCCAAAAGTATCAAATTTTTCTTCTCTCTCATTCTTATTCCATTAATATACATAAATTCAAATAGAGTAAAATCTAAACTTCATCTCAAAATCTTATTATGCATTCAAACAATTTTATAGTTGAAAACTTACACAATATTTCTAATTATACCGTCTGAATAAATGTTTAAAATGCATTAGCAATTTTACTTGCCTTAAAAAAAAGGAAAAAAAAGGAAATAAGAGAATATAAAACTTATTATAGTGCGAATGTTAAAAAACAACTAACGCACCTTACAATATGAATAAAACATGAATAGTTGATATGCATAGAAAAATTCTCAACTATTTCGATTTAACGTATCGAAAACGTATTTTCAATTTTTAAAAGTCAATAACTTTTATAAACACCTGTATTTAAAAGTTAATTTACATTTTATATATAATTTTTTGCAACATTTTAACAAAATTATGCAAACATGCAAAATTATTTTTAAGTTGAGAGACAATTTTTTAATTCGAGATAATATTGATATTATGTATTGTTATAATTATTAACATTATTTATAAGTTAAAAAAAAATTAGACTCTGAAAATTACATTATTAAGATTAATAATCATAATTAATAATAAAATAAAAACAAATGACAAAAATGAGAAAAATATTAAACAAGGCTTTAATAATAATAATAATAAAAATGAGAAATAGCGAAGAAGACTTTAAATTAAATGTAAAAGAATTTTCTGTACTTCATAAACAAAAATAAAAGAGTTTTTAATTGAAAAAGGAAAAAAAAGAATGAAGACTATTATTATAATCTCTCATTATTTAAAAGCGGAGAAATTTGTCTAAAAAGAAAATTTTAATTTTAAAAAATTTACGAAAAATGTCGGTCTGACTAAACTTAAGTTATACTACTGATTTTCTAGTTACGTGTTTTTAAAAATATTTCATAGTAATTCTCTGATTACAAGTGTTTCGTCTGACCAAAACATGGTTAAGGTTAAACTACTAATTTTCAAATAACAAACAAAAATTCGTCTGACAAGAAATTATATTAACTACTTATTTTCAATTTGAAAATTTAAAAAAAAATTTTAAAAATTATTTGTCCAACTAAAATTGATATTTTAAAAATAAATTCTGACCCGGCAAACCTTTTCACTGAGAAAAAATGTTTAAAATTTTCTATAGTCTGACTAAAAACTTGCTATAACTACTGATTTTCTCGTAACAAACATTCAGAAATGTTTTTTTAACACTGAAAATGAGTTTAGTTAATAATTTTCAAATAACAGACACAAAAAATTATATTAACTACTTATTTTCCAATTGGAAAATTTAAAGAAAATTTTTAAAAATTATTTAAAAAGATTTGTTTAACTGAAATTGATTTCAAGTAGTTCAAGTAAATTTTGTCCCGACAAACCCTTTTCACTCCTCTCTAAATTTTAATTCGTAAAAATGTTTACTAATTTCAATTAGTAACTAACTTTTTACTTTTTAATAAGTAAATTTTACTAATAAATCGTCATTTTTACATAATTTTGAATAATTTCACTAATTCATAACTATTTTTAGCAATTTTTATTAATAAACAGTAATTTCTAATTATTTTTACTAATTTTACTTAATAAATAGTAATTTTTAGGTACTAACTTATTAGTAAAATTTACTAATTCAACCTCAAAATAGTAATTTTTACTCATTAGTATAAAATTTACTAATTTAAAAGCAAAATAGTAATTTTTAATTAATTTATTAGTAAAATTGACTAATTTAGAAGCAAAAAGTCAGTCACGAATTTAAATTAGTCAACATTTTTAATAAGGGGTTACGCTACCCAGAACGCATGTAAATTGGACGGTTTTTCAAGAATTTGTTTTGACGAGAATATTTAAAATAAGACATTTTTATTTTTATTGTTTTTTTATAGATATTGTAAGCTATGTAAATACGAAATAGTTTTAAAAAAATAAAAATGGTGAAGATACACGCATTCAAGTGCAACAGTACATTTCTTGGTGGTGGACATGATTGGCATTTCAATTTTGATCTGAAGCAAGTAAAAAAACATTTTTTCTAAAAAGTGGTAAATTTTGAATAGAGTGACGTAGCCGTTTTGAAAAAAAAATCTTACACAAATGGGAGTAATTTAAAGTTAGATTTTATTTTTTTTTTAAATTTAATCTAACTTTAAAGTGCAATTTAAAGTTAAATTTTATTTTTTCAAAAAATTTAATCTAACTTTAAAGTGCTCCCATTTATGTAAATTTTTTTTTCGAAACAGCTACGTTTAAAAATTTATCACTTTTTAGAAAAAATGTTTTTTTACTTGTTTCAAATCAAAATTGAAATGCCAATATAATAATAAAAAAAAAATTACAAAAATAAAAATGTCTTATCCTAAATATTTTCGTCAAATTTTTTTTTTTTTTTTTGAAAAACCGTCTAATTTACTTGCGTTCAGGATGGCGTAACCCCATAATTTAATTTAAATTTAAAGAGTTTATTTTATTATTATTTCTATTTCAGTTATTATATTAATTTTTTTCATTCCATTCAAACTTGATGGAAAATATATAATATTATTCAATCATCTTTTTTAAATTATTCATCATCTTTTTAAAATATTGTCATTTCAAGTTTTAATGAAACATTCCAAACGGAACTTGAATTACAAACGAAAATTGAAAAATATTTAAACACTTTTAAAATAATTTTTTACTGCATCTTAGCTTCAAAAGTTATATATTATTATTAAATTATAATGATATTAATTATAATAAAAATGATAATAATAATATAGATACTAATAATATAGTAAAAGGTGTAAAACAAAAATGTAACACCAAGAAATTAGTAATTAAAAAATAATCAAATATATATTGTTATAATATTAATTTATTTTAAATTATATATTTTAATTATAATTAATATTAATTATCATAATTAATAATAAAACAAAAAGAAGTGGCAAAAATGATATAAAAATATTAAACCAGGCTTTAATAATAAAAATGAGAAATAAAGAAAGAAGTCTCTAAATAAAATGTAAAAGAATTTTTCGTTCTTCATAAACAAAAAGGAATGAGTTGTTAATTGAAAAAAGAAAGAAAAAAAGGAATGAAGAGCATTATTATAATCTCTCTTGTTATTCAAAAGCGGAGGAATTTTTTCTAGACACCTTTCACAAGTATTTTACTTGTATTTGTTAATACTCGAGATGTTAATTTCTTGTTTCTCTCTTTTTCTTCAAAAAAAAAAAAAAAAAAAGCAAAAAATAAAAAAAGAAAGAAAGAAAAAAAGTCGGAACTTCCCCAAGCTAATGAGCACGCAGCAGAATCGTTATTGCACATTACGCCGTTGAATTTTTAAAAATAATTCCCTGCTAAATGTAGTCTTTATCCCAGATAATATCGCTTTTAGTATTTCCCACTATATACACATAGACACACAATATTCGCCCAACATATTTTCCTCTTTTTTTCATTTTGTTTGTTTTCGTTTATTTTTTCCCTAGCAATACACAGTGTTATACAATGGACCAAAAATGTATAATATAGTTTTTGTGTTACACTTTTATTTTTTTTAACTCTATTCGTTTTTGCGGTTTTGCTTCGAGGCGTTCGAAATAGAACTGGGGAAAAAAAAGAAGGGGAGGGAAAAAAGAAAATGCAGGTGTACAAGAGAAGACCAAAGTCGTTTCGAATTTCCGGATATGCCATTCTTATTCACGAAGACTTGTCCCATTGTCTGTTTCCCACGTTATTTCTACTCTCTCTCTAGCTCTCTTTTTTTATCCATTTTCCACTTCTTTCTTTAAAGAGGTTTGAATTTTCACTTCTTGAAATCCTACTGGGTAAACTTGAACGAAATCTAATCCAGTGACCTAACCGAGATGCAGAATTGAATAAACTTCTGCTACGTCTTAAGACTAATCGAATTTTTTTTTCTTTTACTCAAAAAAAGAAGAAAAAGACAACCATTCGTTTGTAAATTCTCATCACGTAAAAAGGTTACTTTATAAAGTGTTCAAATAAGGTCAAGACTCTCTCGTGACATTTCAGCTTCGTTACTTTACTATTATTAAGTAATTAATCTACTTTTATTAACTGAAAATGTGCACCGAGAAAAAAAATTATATTATTAAAAAAAAACTATAGAAATAAAATATAAATACAAATACCCAAATAAGTTAAATTTTACAAAAGTTAAAATTTATTATTTAATTCAGACTTCGTACACTCGTCAATTAAATTTAAAAAGGTAGAAAAAAAGAAAGAAAAAAAAGAATGAAAAAAGTAATAAAAAAGTAGATATTAAAAAATTAAATTTTACAACTAAAAAACTCCTTTTAGACTATTCACAAAAAATTTTATTTCGTATTTTATTCCACAGACATTTTTCTAATTTTCTTTTAAAAAAAAGTTTACATATTATTCTATCCTCCAAATAATTTCAATTCTAAATTTTTGCAAAAAAAAATGTTTTTTGGCAATTTTTATTAAAATAGTAGTTATTGAAAGTTTAATTGAATTTCGAAAAATTTTTGAAAATAATTGAAACGTTTCAAAGAATTCTATTAATTTTATCAATTTTTCGATTTTGAAAAAATCTTTATACGAAAAAATGATGTAAATTTTAAGAAGGTTATTAAAAACGAATTTTTTTTCCTTCGGAAAAAATCATTGCTAAAAAGATAATTAAAAAGTTTTTAATAGTTTTCATAACCTTTCTCTTTTCTTGTAAAAAAGAAGAATGTAAAAAGAAGAAGAAGAAGAAGTCTTGGAAGCTCGAGAGAGTGAACTCTAAACTAAATAAAATAGAATAAAGACGGGTAGCTAAAGCCGCAACCAAAAGTTGCAAGTAAGCCGCAAGAACTTCAACAATTAGCAGCTATACTAAAGCACTAGACTTAGAACAAAGCACATAAGTTTCTAACTTTCACTCAGTAACATAATAATGAAATATTTACCGAGTTACTACATTTTGTGTATGTAAAGTATCATTAGGTTGTCTACAATATAAAGTAATATTTAATTATTCTGATATTCGTCTTAAAAAAAATCTATTCCCAAAATTATATACACGATAATTATTAAGCCTTTCCTATTCTGCTCAATATTTTTCTATTTTTATATTCGAAACATTGACAAAATTTTTTTAGATAAATATTTAATCACTATTCATAATAATAATAATAATAATAATAATAATAATAATAATAATAATAATAATAATAATAATAATAATAATAATAATAATAATAATAATAATAATAATAATAATAATTTATTACTAATTTTTCATAAAAATAAAAAAACTTATTATTATTATTATTATTATTATTATTATTATTATTATTATTATTATTATTATTATTATTATTAATTTTATTATTATTACTTTCAATAAATTTTATATTTATTATGTATTATATCAGGGTTGCCACGCTTTTGCTCATTTCAAATTCCCTGACTTTTTCAGGTTTTCCAGTTTAAAAAACGTATCTTTTCCAGGTTTTTAAAACTACATTTGTTGACAACAAAAATTTAATTTTGTTTTTCCCTGACTTTCCCGCTTGAATTCCAGACAAAATTCTTACTCTTCCTTCACTCTAAAGAATATTTTGATTCAGTTCAAAAATTATTACTCAGAAAAATATTCTATTCTTCTTTTTTAAATAAATATTTAATGATTATTATTACCTATTTGAAATTAAACAATTTTTAAAAAATTGTTATAAAACATGAAGAAATCGATCACTTCGAGTCTTCGACTCGGAGCAATCGATATCTTCACATGTTTTATAATAATTAATTAACAATCAAAGATGACCGACTGATAAAATAATAATTTTATATTATAAGAATATTGTTACTGTAACTTCATGAAATTTATTTTTATCATTTCAATTCAATTATTTTTAACTAGAACTCTTCTTTAAATTAATTATTCATTCATTTTTAATAATTTTTAAAAAAATTCTTTGAAAACTTTCAAATTCTTTTGTTTACAATTCAATTTTACGAAATTTCATAGATTATTCAAAAATTATTCAATCAAATATATATTAGAAAATAAAAACTTCAAATAATTTCAAAAGTTCCATTAAACTATTTTAAAAAAATTAAATCTACACAATTTTCAGTTAAAAGTATGAAAAATTCAAACTTTCAAAAATTATAATTTAAAAGCTTTTCAGAATTCAATATTACTTCTGAAATTCAATAAATTAAATTATAAATTAACTGTTAAATTAGTAGAAACGACTATTTATTAGTAAAATCTGCATACCTATTCTAAAACAAAAAGTAAGTCACTAATTCAAATTAGAAACCATTTTTACTAATTTATTCAATTTTAGAGAGTTTAATGTTCAATTATTATTTAAAATGTTAATTGAAATGCATATTGAAATAAATTTTTATTAGAAAATTTTACAAAAATTCAATTATTTAAATACAAAAATAAATAATTTACTGAATAATCGAATGTTTCTCAAAATTAAATTCTGTTAAAGAATTTTATCAACAAATTTTTAAATAATTAAAATTCTTTTGACAAATTTTAATAAATAATTGAATCTCTGTAAAAAATTTAATTGAATTAGGAAAAGTTTTTGAAAATAATTGAAATTTTGACAAGAATTTTATTAAAATTTTTGAAAATAATTGAATTATGAAAAAGAATTTTATTATTTATAAAGATAATTGAATTCTTCAGACGAATTTTAATAATATATTTCTTTTTAGAATAATTGAATTAAACTAAAAATGAAAATTGGATGGACAATAATAATTAAATGCTAATAAATAAATTATAGAAAGGCTTTTTAAAATAATTGAATTTCTTTAATGAATTTTAATAAAATTATTAAGGATAATTACATTTTTCAAGAAATTACATTAAAATTGTATTCAAAATAATTGAAATTCTGCGATGAGTTTTATTATTTATGAAAATAATTGAAAACCTGTATGGAATTTTATTATTTATGAAAATAATTGAATTCCTGGTAAAAAAAATGTTATTCTTTATGAAAATAATTAAATTATTGTGAAGAAATTTATAAAAAATTTGTAAATAATATAATTCTTGTGAAATTTTTATTATTTAATTCATTCATTCAAAATTGAAATTTTCTAAAATTTCGAATTAAAACCTTTTAAATTTCATCTACTTATGAAAATTGTAAACGCAATTCTTTTAAAATTCAATTAATTTTAAAATATTTAAGTAAAATTAGATTTTAAGAATAAGCACAATAACTTTAGAAAACAATAATTTTCTATGATTCAAATCAAAATTCCCTGACTTTTCCATGTTTTTTCAAGATTTATAAAATTCCCTGACATTTCCAGGTTTCCAGGTTGCGTGCCAACCCTGTATATTTATAATATTATTGTATGTTTAATATTCATAAAAAGAGAAAAGTTCCAAAACAAAATTTCAAAATCCAAAATTAAAAAGTAATACTTAAGATAGCAATTTTTTCCAATTTTTACAGTTGCTCCCCAAATATTCACAAGTAATCAATTATTGGGTACACCAATTAACACAACTGTCACCTTAAAATGTGTCATCGAGGGATATCCAAAGACAATTACTGTTTGGAAACATACGGTCGATGATGCAGATACAGTCATAATGAATGGGTAAGATTATTTAATTGTATTCTCTTTAACTAATATATGTATATAGTAAAAGTAAAACTAATAATGAATCTAAAAAGTTCTGAGATATTTTTTCTATTTTATAAACAATATGTACTAATTTATTTAAGCATAATTATTATTATTTTATTTAGTAATTTCGTTAAATAACAAGTAGATATATTATATATCATTAAACATATTAATTTACATTTAATAAAAGATGTAAATTTATAAATTTACATTTTTTAGCAAAAAATTACTTGTAGGAAAAATTTTCTTTTATTTTTTCTAAATGAGATTTTATTTCTAAAGCTATATAGATGCGATTGTTCGCGAAATTTAAATTCTGAAGAGTTTTCTGATAACCTTTGACTCATCGCTTAATTCTTTTGTATTATTCATAAATTTTTTTCTTTTTGACGTTTCTATGTTAATTTCTTATTCCGCAATAGGTGAAAATTTGATGAACATAGTATTAAATTTCATAAATTAATTTTTTGATTTCACAGAGAAAGATATGAAATTATTGAACGAGTAAATGCAACTTATGAATGGAAAATGACGACGGAATTAACAATAAAAGGAGTACAATTAGAAGATTTGGGTGTATATAAATGTTCAGCGCAATCGAGTCTGGGAGATGCCGAATTGTCCATGACCGTATTTAGTAAGAACTTTGTGTTTAAAATAATTATTTAACAACTAAATGATGCTTGCAATTATTTATAATTTTATTATAAGAACATGTCATAATTATAACATCCTATACTAAATTTAAATTTAATTTTTTTACACTCAATTGTCCTATTTTTGTTTTAATTAAGAGAACTAGAAAAAGATTAGTGAAAAAAATATTTATTTTTTTTTTTTAATATTTGAAAATCCCTTGTCTGACCTAAAACTTACTCTAACTACTGAATTTCAAATAATAATTGTTCAGAAATGTTTGTCTCTACAAAAAATATTTAAAAAAACAAAAAAAAAAAATTTAGAAAAAAATATTAAATTAAATTTATGAAAACAAGTATAAAAAATATTTTCTCTTCTTCTGAATCATTTCGATTACAAACGATGTAAACTTTATCAACATAATTTGTAAACGATATATTCCTATTATTATTATTATTTTTGTATTTATTTTCTTTTTCCTTTAATCTCATTATGTTTGTAGAAAACTTTTCCTTGTATATACATACAAATTCTCTTTACATTATATATTTCTCCACTAACTTTTCTTTCTTTTGTAATTATTCATGGAAGAAGCAAAGAATTCTAGAAGCTTATACTCTCAATCCGTGTTTTCTAGAAAAACTTTTCAAAGTTCAATTGAAGGGGAAAAAAGGAAGAAAAAAAATATTGAAGGATACAATGCACACATACACACACAATATTCCTCACGGCATTATTTAAATTCCAATCTTGTTTGAAATAAAGAAAACAAAAATATAACACCAAAGTTTGATAGCCGCATATTGTTTCATTTGGAAAATTTCTCATTCAAATCCTTTACGTAAAAAAGAAGAAAAAAATCTTAAGAAAAATTAACCGTGAAATTTATTTTTAAATAAACTTCGAAATATTTATGTAATATAATAATATATATTTCCCCCATTATTTATTTTATAATTTTTATTTCCGTTTTATTAATAATTTTTTTCCCTTTTTTGTCTCTAAATTTTGAATTAGTGAAAATGTTTACTAATTTAAAATTTTAAATTGGTAAATGACTTTTTGATTTTTAATTAGTAAATTTTACTAAGAAATAGTAATTTCTACTAATTTATTAGTAAAACTTTCTAATTTAAAAGCAAAAAGTCGATCACTGATTTAAGTTAAAAATCATTTACTAATTTAAATTTAGAGATTTTATTTTATTAATAATATATTCTATTTCAGTTATTATTAATTTTTATTTCTTTCCATTCAAACTTGATGGAAAATATATAATTTTATTCAATCATCTTTTTAAATTATTCATCATCTTTTTAAAATATTGTCATTTCAAGTTTTAATGAAACTTTCGAAACGAAACTTGAATTAGGTATAAATGAAAATTGAGAAATATTTAAATATTTTAATTATATTTTTAAAGATTTATTTATTTTACAATTTTATTTTATATTTTTATCAAATTATCCACTTTTTAATGTAGTTAATAAAATTAAATTGGAAATTATTCCAATTTTCATGAATCTAAAAGGAAACATATTTTAATAAAATGATATTAATATTTTTAAAATTTTTAATAAAATTCTTCACTGGAATTCAATTATTATATAATTCAATTATTTTCAATACAATTTTAATAAAATTTTACGAAACAATTAAATTAGTTCCCAAAATTTTAATAAAATTCTTTGCACAAATTCAATTTCTATAAATAATAAAATTTTTTCTCGGGATTCAATTATTTCTATAAATATTAAAAATAAAAATTCTTCGCAATTATTTATTACAAAAATTTTAATAAAATTATTCCCAGGAATTCAATTATTTTTATAAATAATATAAATACCTTTCCAGCAATTCAATTATTTTGTTAAAAATATAATAGAATTTTTTCCAGACATTCTATTATTTTTATAAATAATAAAATTCTTCGTAAAAATTTAATTATTTTTTTAAAATTTTAATAAAATACTTTGCAAAAAAATTAATTATTTTTATAAAAAAATAAAATTTTTTACAGAAATTCAATTTATTTCGTAAATAATAAAATTTCTCGCAGAAATTCAATCGTTTTCATAAATAATAAAATTCTTTTCAGGAATTCAATTATTTCTATAAATAATAAAATTTTTCCTAGAGATTCAATTATTTCTATAAATATTAAAATTATTCTTAAAAATTTAATTATTTTTAAAAATAATTATAAATAATAAAATTCTTCGGAGGAATTCAATTATTTGCAAAAATTTTAATATAAACTTTTGTGAAACAATTCAGTTATTTTTAAAAATTCTTCGCAATTATTTATTATAAAAATTTTAATAAAATTATTCGCAGGAATTCAATTATTTTTATAATTAATAAATATCTTTCCAGCAATTCAATTATTCATAAAAATATAATAAAATTTTTTTCCAGCAATTCTATTAATTTTATAAATAATAAAATTCTTTGTAAAAATTCAATTATTTTTCAAAAATTTTAATAAAATACTTTGCAAAAAAACAATTATTTTTATAAAAAATATAAAATTCTTCACAGGAATTCAATTCTTTTCATAAATAATAAAATTTCTCACAGAAATTCAATTATTTTCATAAATAATTTTAAAATTCTTTTCAGGAATTCAATTATTTCTATAAATAATTAAATTCATGGAAAAAATTCAATTCCTTTCAAAAATTTTAATAAAATTCTGAGAAAAACATAATTCGTTATGTTTCGTTATTATATAAAAATTACAATTGTTTATGGTTATTATAATTGATTTTATTAATAATAATTATAATGTCGAATAATTTTATATTATTAATTGTTAGAAATTTTTTTAGTTGCATTATTTATTATTATTCTTAGTAGAAATAATTAATTATATGCTTCGTTAATTTTTGTTAATATAATTTAAATTGATTAATAATTCAAGTTGTATTAATATTGATAATTATTTATTTATTTACATCAGTATTAAATTATTAATATTCTATTTTATTTTGTACATATTAATTATTGTCAATGACTATTATTATTATTATTATTTAAATAAATAATTTGTTGATTTTTATTACAAAATACACTAGTTATTGAGAATTAATAATTAACATTAATAATAATTAATAATTCTATATTAACATTAATTATTATTAAACGATGCGTTAATTTGTTTTTTAAATAGAAAAAGAAAACTAACAATATAAAGTACAAAATTTTTCTTTACAGAAATTCTACCCGAAATGCATGCAACAAAATCAACATCAACACATAAAGGGAGAAACAATAATAATATACAAAATGAATTTGATTCGACAAATCAACGTAGAAAATATCATCAGCTTAGTACACCGGCAATGCAAAAAAGTACAGCAAGATTGGTATCGAATAAGATTTTAACGACCACTATGGATCCTCGTATAGCGTTAACCAAGAACAAGAACGCACTTAAACATAATGAAGTGCTGAACGTGCAGAGCAACGCCATTGCCATAAACGTGATCAAGCAGATAAGTGCGATTTGTGTGCTGCTTTCTTTTACGCTGCGGTAATTCGAAGCGAACGATAAAATTAGAAAACTGCTATAATAGGAGTATATATATTGTACAAGAAGCAACGATTTTCCATTTTAGAATATTATGCGCGTGCCCAAATGACAATGAACAACGATCCGCGTAATATGTTAAACAATGGAAATGTAAATTCTCTTTTTTATATATAAAAAAAAAAAAATAGTCAAAAGAAAGAGGGCGTAATCGACATATTTTTTTTTTTAATCAGACAAGAAAAAGTGAAGGAAGAAAATTTCTTTTTCATTATTTTAACGTATAGGAAGAATTGTAGTCGAAATATATTTTTTCTTGAAGTGGAGAAGTAATTTTTAATTTTAGCCAAAAAAAATATTTGGAAAGAAAAAACGAATATTTTTAACTTCGGTAAAAAAAGAAACTTTTTCAAGTTTCTGAAATAATTGGTTTTCTAATTTTTCTAAATATTGAAAGTAAAAGAATTATAAAAGCAAAACTAATTTGAAATACCATTAATTTCAAATACTTTCAATTAATTTTCTATACATTCAATTAGTTTCAAGTACTATTATTTATTAATTAATTGAAATAAATGTTGACATAAAATAATATAATTATAATATAATAATATAATATAATATAATTTTATTTTACTTCAAATTAAAATAAGTGAATTAAAATGTTAATTAGTTAAAATTTTAATTAATAAAAATTTCAATTTATTCAAATTAAAATAATAAAGTTGTTAAATTACCAAAAAAAACCATTAGTTAATTAATTACAAATACTCTCGTTTATTAATTAAGTATAATTAATCAATTGTTTATCTAATTAAATAAATAATTGAAAATAGTAACGCAAAATTGTGGATTTAATTTTTTTGCTAAAAATTACTTTTCAATGTCTTAGTTGTTAAGAATTTGTAATTTAAAAAAACTTTCAAATTAAGTACAAATTTGAAAAAGAATTTTTAATATTGTTTAAAAAAATTTATTTCTTTTCGTAATAAAAAAAAAACCAAAAATCGCAAAATGCCAAAGGGAAATTTAAAGAAGATAAATTGTAAATATTTCTATGAAATATTTGCAAATGAGTATTAATTGAATACTCAGTGTTTATAAAATACCGACTGAGTGAAATAAAAAATGGTAATGAAAAATCAGCAAAAAATTAAAAAAAATAAACTAAAAATAAATATCGAGAAAGAAATTACTATTCTCTTTCTATGTACAGATTTTCTGCTTTAAATTGTTAAGATCGTAGTTAACTTAAATACTGTATTTAAAAAAGAAAAATTAGTTACTAGAATGTAATGACTGTTTTTATTATTTATTATTATAAACATATTTCAGGGATGTCTCGTATGTAAACAAACTAAAATAATTATTTAAAATGTAAAATCTTTTTTATAATAAAATCAAGAGATTAAAAAATAATTTCTTTAATTCCCATAGCCAAACAATAGTAAAAATATTCAACTTCATTTTTTTCACCATAATCACATCATTTTTCTATTCAAAAAAAAAAAAAAAAAAACTTTCTAAACTCTTTTTTCTGCTTACAACTTTTTCGAATCATTTAAACCTCCATTTAGATAATTAACTGCAAATAGATAATTATAATTTATATAATTAATTAAATAATTAATTGTTAAAGTAAATAATTAATTATAAAATTAAATAATTAATTATTAAATTAAATTATTAATCATCAAATTAAATAATTAACAGCATTTAATTTATTAAATAGAAAAAAATTTTAATCCACCAAAAATTTTTCTCATTAGAAAAAAAAGATGATGAATAAAAATATTTTATTAATTAAGCAATAGTCTGTAATCTATAAATATATCCAATTATGCTCTGATAAAAAAAATTATTTAAAAGTTGCTTAATAAAATTTTTTATAAAATGAGTAAAAAAATAACTTAAAAACATATATATAGGTATATAAATGTAAAAAAAAAATGTTTGTGATATTAAGGCTTACGTTCGCTCTTGTCTTCTATCTGACAATATTTTGCATTAACGAAAAGAAAAATAAATAAAAAAAAAAGATATAAATAGATAAACTCTTTTTATTTGAAATCAAATGCTGACAAATAATTAGCGTATCAAATTCTCTAGTTTTAAGGGGAAAAAAGGGAAAAAAAAGATAATTGATAATTGAATGTGAAATAATAGTTCTAGTGAAAAAAAAATAATTCCAATAATATGTGTATAAGAAAAGGTATAATAAATATAAGATTATTTAAAAATTATTATATAAAATAAGCGATAAAAAAAATAGTCTCAGAAAAATGCTACAATGCTATAATAATAAAACTGATATCATATCGACGTAAAAATTCATATCCATAAAAAAATTGCACACAATACCCAACATTGTATTAAACACATTAGAAAAAAAATATCTAGAAACTAATTTATTATTTTACCGAGTTTATTATAGTTTAAGGCTTTAGTAATTAAGAAAAAATGAAGTGAAAAAGTTCTAGTATTTAAGAAAAATGAAATGGAAAAAGTTTTAGTATTTAAGAAAAATGAAGTGAAGAAAAAGAAATTTAAATTCGATTTGTAAAAATAAACGACAGTTTCCTTTGTGAAAAAAGTCCAGAAAAAAAAAGTTTAAGGAACATTTCAAGTAAGTTACTACATTGCAGTATTGTATAGAATTAAAAAAAAAGTGATTGGTCCTGCTAGCTCAATTTGAATCGAATGTAGATTAGTGAGAAAATATAGTTGTACTTGTAAATGGCTAGATTCAGTAAAACGACGATTATAATGATCGAAATTGTATTACAATTATCGAACTATATTTACTAACGAAATATGGAAAATAAATTTCAAAAAAAAATCTTATTTCGAAAATAATTACAAACATTGACTTTTCAATAAAAATAAACAAAACAAAAGTAAATAGGGAAAGAAATTAAAAATTAACAAAAAAAAATTAACGAAAAAGAAATTAACAAAAAAAATTAACGAAAAAGAAATTAACAAGAAATTAAGAAAAAGATTAACAAAAGAAAAATTTTAAAAAGAGAAATTAGCAAAAAAGAAAGAAAGAAAATAAAAATAATAAAAGCTAAATTGAAAACCAAATTTGCAATTACAATGTTGACTAATCAGGAAAAAATTATCATCAATTATGAATTACCATTAATCATCAATTAATAAATATTGTCACTTTTTCAAAAAAAAGAAAAACAAGGCCTATTTTTCTAAAACCTGACACTAAACTCTCCAAAATCAATTGAAAGAGAAAAAAATCCGAAGACAATTTTTTGTGAAAATTCTGTTCAAATTAGATAGAAATAATATTAAAATAAATAAATTGTAGAGAGTACGAGAAATTTTATTTTCAATCACAAAAAAAAAATGCGTCACAAACTATTAATTTTTATCCAATAAGAAAATTTTTTTTTCGGCTAATATTTCGAAAAGTAAAATAATTCGAAAAATAGCAAAGATAATTTGAAAAATAGCTAAAATAATTCGAAAACTAGTTAAGATAAATTCAAAGAATAGTTAATTGATAAAATAATAATTTTCAAAGAAAAAATTTCCTTTAGATAGATAATTTTATATAAAAGAAGAATTTACATAAAAAAATCTATCTTATAAAAAAGAGGAAAATTTTCTTGTCTAGAATTTAAGCAAAATAAAAGCATCGTGTAAATTACTGTCTTTTGAAAGAAAGAAAAAGAAGAGAAGAAAAAAATGCAGGGATAAATGTAATTGACGTAACGACTATTAAAAACAGTATTGAACGATGCTCAATATTATTAAAATATTATTACAATAATTATAAAGACGTTGTTGTTTATAGAAAAATATATAAATATATTGTGAGAATAAGCTGAGAAAAATAAACAGAATGTGCTCAAAATTGGACAATTATATATAAATATAAATAAATATATATATAAGTATAGCTTCGCTATCTTAACGTGTTGACAAATAATGTATATCGTGTAACTAGTTCTTTTGTTTTCATAGAAAACCTACTTTAAGCTTTAAATAAGTGTATTTTTTATGTATTCCCGTCGAAAAAAGGAACAAATACAAAATGTTTGTCATACGAACGTAAATCTCACATTTTCATTAAACATTAAGTTTTCGTTTCTTCACAAATTATAGTATTTACCTTTCTTTCTGTTAATTTTTTTTTCGTAAACAAAAATATCATTTTTTTCACATTTTGAATTTACCTTTTTTTTATCGTGTCTTATCTAAGACAATTGTTTTTTTTTTGGTCGATTTAAAATTCCTTAAGTTTATATTCATTCTAGTTTCCTTCCTTTTGGAATTATCCTATATCCTCTCAGGACCAAAACAATATACTAAAAGCCATGAAGAAACAGCATAATGCAACATAAGGACTCTTTCGCTCCCCAATCCTGGCACACTTCCAGAAGATCCCCAGGAATCTAGCGACAATAGATAATTATTTAAAAAACGATTCTAGCAATGAAGAGAGAGAGAGGAAAATAATTGATTGTTGAGAAAAAGAATTTTTCTTTTGACTCTATTTTTTTAATTTTTACTAACCCAACTTTATTCCTATCCAGCAAACTAGGAACTATTGAACGGATATACGCACACGTGCAAATTAGAAGCAGAATAACTGTTAGAAGACTCTGGAAATTAAATAGGGCCGACTACCCCAAAAATAGAAAAAAAAGGATTAAAATTCAACCATATTTGCTTAGACAATTTTAGAGTGATTTCTTTTGTCGTAAAAGAAAAAGATTGAAGAAAAGAGAAATCGAAAAAAATATCTAAATAAATAATCCATAAATAATCTAAAATCTAAATCTATAAAAAAAAACGAAGGAAATAGAAATCGAAAAAATGTCTGAATCAATAATCTAAAGAAATTGCTAAAAAAATATCTAAAGAAATTGCTAAATAAATAAATAAACTAAATAAATAACTAAATAAATAACGAAAATAAAATAATCCAAATAAATAACAAAATGATTAACAAAACTATTTTTAATTCTTTCATGTTTCATAAATTATTAGCAGGTTATTCACGAAAGTTCATTTTGCGGAAAAATAAAACAATCTTGGTTTGACAATTAACACAGTTAATAACTTAGAAACCTCGATCGTCTTATTTTTCAGTAAATTGAAACAAAACAATCATTATTCGTAATTTAAAAATTCATAAAATAAATATTTTCTAGTTTTGAAACAAAATATTTGCTCCCTTTTGTTTTACATTCTGCCATGATAAATTTTCCTTTAAAAATGAAAATTAAAAAGAAAACCTATCAAATATGCCAATTCGAATATCAAATTTTGTTAAAAATCTAATTTTTACCACTTTTTACTTAAATGAGCACAAAAATACAGATTTTGTGCTGTTTATTTTCAACATTTGAGGTTATACGGTCAACGCAATAAATACTGCAAAAAACTTCAGTTCTTAATTGCTAAACACATTTTTTCGATTTAATTTTATCTCTTATAACGTGAATGAAATGAAAAAGAGAACAAATTTTATGTTAATTTAACAGAAAACAAAACATATTTATATTTCTATAGAGTTTTGAGGTTATGTTGACTTCAGTGACAACCAAAGTTTCAACGCATGAATAGAAAATTAACCTAATAAATATATAATTTTACGACTCACCATTGCAATCAGTCGGGTAATTACCAATTCTTAACTTATTTCTTCCTTTCTTTTCATTAATTCGTTGGAAAAAACTGATAAAAATACTTGATTCACATGCAAAAACGTTGACAACATTGACATTTACGTGTCACTCTGTCGGATGGTCGAAGAACTACAATCGAGATATTGAATTCGATTAATCGAATCGACTTCGGTTAGATTCGATATTCGCTCGATATTTCAACAATAACAAACACTTTAACCTCAATTGTTTGTATAATTATTAGATTATTACTATTATTGACGCATTAATAATGTTAAAATCTCTGAAAATTGTTAATGTTACGAAACAATTTAAAACAGTACTGAAAAGAATTATTCGACACAATTCCGTTGCGTCAACGACATTACAAAATGATTTCTCTAATTCACAGTGGAAAGATAAATCAAATCTTTATAAACAACTTTATTCTAAAATATTAACTTGTGGACCCATTAGTATTGCTGATTATATGAAGGAAGTATTAACAAATCCCATTGATGGTTATTATATGAAAAAAGATGTTTTTGGTCATAAGGGTGACTTCGTTACTTCACCAGAAATTAGTCAACTTTTCGGTGAGGTACGACTTATTTCAATTTTAATTATTTATTTATCAATTATTGTTTGTTTTATTAAAATTATTACTGTCTAACAATTATAATTTATTTTATTAAAATTATTCTGAGTTTTTCAATTCGGAAATTACAAAATTTAATGTTTTCAAGATTATAACAACAAAAGTTAATTAAACATAATTGTTTTGAATCAAACATTGTAATTCAATTTATAAAATTAAATTAACATTCAAGAATGTAAAAATTAATTTTAAATTAAAGAGCGAAAAATAATTTTTGTGATATTTTTAAAGCAAAAATTTCAAAATTTATTAATTACATAATTTAGCGTTAAAAAACAATTTTTTTTAATTATAAAAATAAACTTCTTGTTAAAAATATGTTATAATTTTTGTAACTTTAATAATTTGGGATTAAAAATAATTTTATTCTTGAGAATTTTATTAAAATGTTTGAAATTAATTAAATTGGTTGGAAAAATTTCATTTATATTTTTAGAAATAATTCAATTCTTACGAGGAATTTCTATAAAATTGCATTGAAAATAATTAAATTGTTAAAAGGAATTTTATCAAAATTTTTGAAAGTAATTAAATTCTTTTTAAAAATTTTATTGCAATTTTTTTTAAATGTTTACAAAGAATTTTATCCAAATTTTCGAAAATAATTGAGTTAAGATCATGTTATTCAGTGGTCACGTGCCCCATATACTTTACTATGGAAAAACTTCACTCTAAATAACATGACCTGAGAAGAATTTTTTTTCCAAAAATAATTGCTGATAATAATTGAAGAATAATTAAGAATAATTGAATTCTTTCGATAAATTTTATTATAATATTTGAAAATAATTGAATTTTCTCTGTATTTAAATTGTAATTAAAAAAAAAATTGAATTCCTGCAAAGAATTTCATTTCAATTTTTGAAAATAGAGTAGAGTTAATTAGTTAATTAGTTTACAAGTGAAATTTTTGAATTTTGAAACTAAAATTCTATATTAAAAAATTTAATTTGATATTTAAAAATAAAATTTTGTAATTTGAATAATAATAAAAAATATTAATTTCTTGTTAATTTAATATTTATTAACGAAAAGTGAAAATATTTTTAGATGATAGCTGTTTGGATATTACACGAGTGGAAAAAGATCAGTAACAAGAATTTTCAACTCGTAGAATTAGGACCTGGTAGAGGAACATTGTCTAATGATATTCTCAGGGTAAGAATAAATTTTTAAATTAAATGTTCATTATGAAAAAGAAACGAATTTTCAAATATAATATTCATAATTTTATATTTAGGGTAGAGTGGGGTAAAAAAGCCATGGTGTAAAAAAGCCATTTGAGTTTTATTTAAAAACTATTAAGCCGATTTATCAGCTGTTTAGAATATAAATACTATTAGGTAATACGCAACTTTTGAATCTAATTTGAATGTTGTACCTAGATTAATATTGTTTTTATTGTAATTTTAATTTTTTGTTGCTTTTTTGAAAACATTTTGGTGAACTTTTCAAACATATTACAGTCTGATTAAGTGAACGAATAATAAAAATAAATGTTTGTACATAAGGAGAAAAGTATTCCGAAAACGTATACAATGTTAATTTTTGGAAATTGAACTGAATTAACAATTTATTTTTGCTTTTTTTAATAACTGGTCTTGGGTGTAAAAAAGCCAGGGCAAAGAATCCATTGAATATTTTGTGAAATTCACTTGTTTTCTATTTAAACTAACCTTCTTATTTTACAAAATTTCTCGTGTTTATTTAATAAAATAAATTAAACACGACGAAAAAGTAGTTCAAAGTGCATTTAAAAAATAAACAATGAATAAACGGTTGCAACGAAATATGTTATCTGTGGTAAAACTTAAAGAGAACTTCTAAAAAAGGTACGAAAAATTGGCAGTGCAAATCGAAAACAGGTAAACTTAATATAATTTTCAATTTTGCTTGCTAAAAACTCTTTCATAATTATTAAAATATTTTTCAAATAAGACTATTTGTCATATAAATAAAGGGAAACTATAAAAATACCTAAATTGATAACGTGTTTTGCTAAAATCGTAGGGTGGCTTTTTCACCCCACCAGGTGGTGCAAAAAAGCCACTTGCAGTGCTTTCGTAAAACTCTTATAACTTAGTCCTTTCTTAAAAAAAAAAAATATTTCCGTCAAGAATTTTCAAGCTTAATAACTTAACTTTCAATAACAATTGGAAATTTGAGAAAAAAATTTTAAATACAGATTTTACAGCATCAAATGTAAAAATGTGGCTTTTTTACCCCACTCTACCCTATATATATAAAATGTATAAATTAAAATTTATTTATAATTTCATATTATATTAGTATCATCATAATTATTTTATTTCATTATTAACCATAAATTCCATTCATTTTCACAATAAAAGAAGAAAAATTTTAGGTTTTCAAACAACTGCAATGCGCCGATAAAGTATCATTACACTTGGTGGAAATAAGTCCCACACTTTCGGAAATTCAAGCGAAAAATTTATGCGCTTCCTATGAGGACATTAAACCCGTTGTGAATTCAAACGTTAAAAACGCAATCGGTCCCTATAGGCAAGGAATCACGAAGGATGGAATAAAAATCTTTTGGTATTATTCAGTCAACGATGTTCCACAAAATTTCAGTGTAATTATTGCGCACGAATTTTTCGACGCTCTACCAATTCATAAATTCCAGGTAATTTTTAAAAGTCTCTGAGAAAATCGTTTTCACTTTTTTTAAAAGAAAAAGTTTTTTTATTTTCCAAAATCCCATTTTTCAGAAATCAAATAAAGGATGGCATGAAGTACTAATCGACATTGATAAGAATTCATCTAGTCAGGAAAAATTTCGATACGTTCAAACAAAAGGACCGACATTAGCCAGTAAATTGTACCTGGAGGTGAATTATCAATTTTCCAAATAATATATTGAAAATAAAGAATTTAAAAAAAATGTATTTTACAGAAAAGTGAAACAAGATTACACGTGGAGATAAGTCCGCAAACAATGGTTCTAGTCGATACACTCGCAAATTTTCTAACTCAAAACGGTGGATTTGGATTAATAATTGATTATGGACACGATGGGGAGAAAACCGATACTTTTCGCTCCTTTCGCGAGCACAAACAACACGATCCACTTTTAAATCCCGGCACTGCGGATTTAACAGCCGACGTTGATTTTTCTCTGATAAGAAAAATAGCCACGAAAAATAATCGACTCGTCACATTTGGACCAATTAATCAAGAGGATTTTCTTAAACAATTGGGAATTGAAGTAAGATTGCAAAGTTTATTAAAAAATGCGACGGATAAGGAGAAAAAATTTATAATTGACGGTTATCGACAAATAACAGACGCTAATCAAATGGGTTCGGTATTTAAAGTATTCTCAGTGTTTCCAGCTGTATTAAAGCAACATTTAGAAAAATGGCCCGTTTCGGGTTTCATGATTTCGTAATAAAGGAAAATCATTTAATTTCAAAGGAAAAAAAAATGTCAAAAACGACATTTTCTTTTATTTTCAATTAACATTTTTCGTAAGTTTATATATTGTACGATATAACAAATTGTACGAACTTCTAAATTTTTTCCTATAATTTCTGACCGCCAGTGAAGTCGTATGGTTTCCACATTTGCGTAAATTCAATTACCTTTTTTGTTTGATCCTCGAAATTCTCCCGTCTTGGCTTTCGCCATAGACTGTAATCAACGTCCAACATTCCTCCGATTATTTCCTGCAAGAAAATTTTTAATTAAACTCATTTTATTTATTATTTTAAAATTCATCGGAAGAATTCAATTATTTTTATTTTATTTTTTATCTTTGCAAAAAATTCAAATATTTTCAATACAATTTTAAATAAAATTTCACGATCGGATTCAAGTATAATTTTTAAATTTTTAATTAAATTTTTCGAAAGAGTTCAATTATTTTTTTAAAATTTTGATCAATTTTTTGAAATAGTTCAATTATTTTCTAAAATTTTAATAAATTCTTCGAAACAATTCAATTATTTTCCAAAATTTTGATAAAATTCTTTGTATGAATTCAATTATTTTTATAAATAATAAATTTCTTCTCAGGAATTGAATTATTTTCAATTATAATTATTAAAGAAAATCTATTATATTCCAAAAACCACAAAAATTTCTTGTACAAATTCAATTATTAAAACCTTTCATAATAACTATTTCAAAAAATTTGATTATTTTCAATATTTTAATAAAATTCCTTGAACAAATTAAGTGATTTTAAAAAATTTCAAAAAAATTCTGAGAAAAATTTAATTATGTTCTAAAAAGTTTAATAAAATTCAACAAAAAAATGTTTAATTGTAATTATTAACAAACATGGTTAATTTAAAAACTTGAAAGAAATTCTTCATAAAATTCAATTAGTTTCAAAATTTTCAATTAAAATTATTAAAGAAACTATTATTTTCTAAAATTTTAATAAATGCTTCGAAACAATTCAGTTATTTTCAAAATTTTTTAAAAAATTTTTGGAATGAATTCAATTATTTTTATAAATAATAAATTTCTTCTCAGGAATTGAATTATTTTCAATACAGTTGTAATAACATTCAATAATTAAATTTTTAATTATTAATAGACAATTATTTTCAAATGTTTAAAAAAATTCTTTATTTAATTCAATTATTCTCAAAATTTTCAATTAAAATTATTAAAGAAACTATTATTTTAAAAAAATTCAAAGAAATTCTTCGCAAGAATTAAATTACTTTTATAAATATTAATAAAGTTCCTCCGATGAATTCAATAATTTTCAAATTTTTTGATAAAATTCTTTGCAAAAATCCAATGATTTTCAATATATTCATTATAAAATTGAAAACATTTAAAAAGAAAAATTATTTTAAAAAGTTAGAAAACCAAAAATTTATTAAAAATATATTTTCTTTTCCTACTTTACCTGAGCGAAATTCTTTGGAAATAACTTTTCATTTTCAATAACGTGAGCAAAGCCGGAATGATTTCCAAAATCGACTTCAAAATAGGGCAGACCTTTTGGAATTGCTCGTTGAATATCTTTTTCCTTAAGATCGACAATTTTTTTATTATTTGACCATTCTGATTCACATTCTAGTAGAGCTTTCTGTAACAAGATGAAAAAGAAATTAAAAATTTAAATCAAAGTCTACTTTTCAAAAAAGTTTTAATTTTACAAATATTTCATACCTTAAAATACATTGGTGCTAAATTTCCTTCGTCCAGTGATAAAGGAACGCAAATTACTTGCATATGGTGATAGGAATGGAAATTCATAGCGACTTCGAAAAATACGGGGATTTTTTTGTACACTTCAAACATTTTTGTTAAAGTCTTCTTAAAAAGCTGTAAGAAAAAGTTTTTAAATTTTAATATAGTATTCTAATTAGCAAGATACATATTAATTAATATAATTAATTTTTTTCTACAGTAATTGTAAATTAAAATTTTTTAATTATAATTAAAAACTTGAATTTCAACCTTTATTTCAGCGTAGACATCTTCGTCTAATTGTGTTTGACAGAGAACGTGATTCATGGGCGATATTAAACAATGTCCTGTTGTTAAGGAAGAATATGCTGGAAGACTTAAATAAACATGGGAGCCAACGGCAATAATCATGTGCTTCAATAATCTCTCTGAATCCAAACACCATAGACAATTTTCCAAACTCTTTGTCTTCTTCTTATGCTCCTTGATTGCCTGTGAACGTTCACGGGCATCCTGTTTGGCGTCTGAATTTTTGTAAGTAATATTCTGCTCAAAAAGTTCGTCCATATCGCCACTCTAAAAAAATATACTTATTAATTTAATTAATGAAACTTTTTCTCTATGAAATGTTCTCAAATACGTTTATAAATACGTTTTTTTTTTAAATTAATAAATTTGTGTGAAAATTCAAATACGTGGGAAAATTCACCTTTGATGCGAGTTTAACGAACATTTCGTCATCTTCTTTAGATGATTTCCCTCTTTCGCTCTGAAACTGAATTAAAAAAATTAATTCGCCATTGAAAAATAAGAAATGTTTATTACTATTTCGTAATTTTCATCTTTAATTTTAAATATTAGGTAAGATTAGAAATTACAAAAATAGAATAAACGTAAATATTTCGTTTACCATTTCGTTCAAGGAATATTTGTCATCGTCTGCAAAGTATCGAACTCTTTCTCCGCCCGTATGAGTTTGGACCATTTTCTTTCTTTTCCGATCTTTACTCGAGTTTGAAGAATCTGCTCTTGGCTCCAAAGGTCGAGTTATACCTGAAATTAAACATTTAAGATTATTTAAAATTTGTTTATCAATTTTACACTCAAATTCGTTATTTGAAATTAGAACACAAAGTTTAAAAGAAGAAAAAAGTATAACAATAAATAAAAACAATAAAATAGGAAATAAAGTGTTTGACAATAAATAAAAAGGTAATGATAATAAATAAATAAAATAATAAACAAAATGAAAGGAAAATAATATAATAAAAATATTTCAAAACCTTTAGCATCAGTTCGGGTTAAAATAACAGTTTCTTCCTTGACTCTACTCGATTCTAATTTACGCATTTCTCTTGCTTTCTGTAATTTTAGTTTCAGTTCAGCAGCCAATTCCTAGAAAACGAAGAAAATAATTATTGAATTGAACAAATTAATAAATGTTAAATCAGGGTTGCCACGCTTTGCTCATCTATTTATGAAAATTGTAAACGCAAATCTTGTAAAATTTAAGTGATGTTGAAAAACTTAAGTAAAATTAGATTTGAAGAATAAGCACAATAACTTTAGAAAGCAATAATTTTCCAGTATTCCGATCAAAATTCCCCGACTTTTTCAGGTTTTCCTGGTTTCCAGGTTGCGTGGCAACCCTGTAAATTCTAAAAATGTAAAACTTTGAACAAACATAAATTAATTTTCAAACTCACATCATTGCCCATAATTTCGGCTTTTACAATTTTGGCGCCCAATTTATTCAATTCTTCCTCAGTAAGAATATTATCATCGTCATTAATTGTGTTATTTTCCAAATTAGACTCCCTACTCGACGAGACTGAAAATTTGTCATAATTTTCAATTTCTTTGTAACTCGATTCAGATCTTTCTTTCAACAATTTTTCCCGTACTTCTGGTTTTTGCCATTTTTTCGGCCCACTCGATTCGCGTCTGGAAGACGATACGGAATAATTGTCATCGCCTTTTGGTTTCTTAAATGCCGGCCTTTCTTTCCTCTCAAAATCCCGATCACTTGAATCGTGTCTTTTGTAATGATAATCCCGAGAATCGGAATATTTTCCAAATCTCCGATGTTCGTGATGACTTCTTGATTCTCTTGAATGATTCCTTTCAGCTTCATTTATCAGGGACAAAATATTTTCTAAAGACTGAAATAAATTCGTAGAAAGATTAGTAAAATAAAGAGACGGAATAAAAAAATTTTAAAAATAAAATGGAAAAAATGTAAATAAACAAAATAGTAAAAAAAACAAATAAAATAAAAAATGTAAATACAGAAGGTAAAAAAATTTCAATATTATAACTGAAATAAATAATTTTCCATTTCTAAAATATTGCAAGGAGAAATAAATATTTACCCCCCATCTTTCCGCTGCAACTTGTTCGAGAGGAATTCCCTTTTCATCGGCCATTTCTTTCGCTCTTTGAAGACTTTTTTTTAGCCAATTAATATCCATTGTTTGATTTATTTTACTATCTTGTTCTTCGGGTAAACCAGTGCCACCGTCCTTCCAATATGGATTTAATTCCCTTCCACTTTGACCCGGTCTATCGAGAATATATTTTTCCTCCTCACTTTTCTTTGATTTGCCCTTGTCTCTTCTTTTTTCGTCGGAAATTGTTGGAAATATTCCTGGAAGACTCATCCATTCTTCTCTCTCCAATGGCTTTTTAAATGAATTTTCCTCACTTTTAGAGTCATTTGATTCGATTAATTTTTTTACACATTGCTCCTCGTCACTGTCACTGGAACTCTTAATTGGAACTTTTTGATTTAATTACATTAACAATTATACAATCCTTCCTCTATAAGGAAGTTATACAATTACAAAACAAATTATATTAATATTATTAAAATAGAAATATAATTAAAACAGAAATTAAAATTATCCATATTTTTACCTCATCAGAACTTGATTTTCGATGTTTCTTTTTTTTCTTCTTGGATTTTTTCTCTCGTTTCTCCTTTTTTCGTTTCTTCTTTAATTTTGATTTTGATTTTTCACTTATTGACGACGATCGAAATTTTTCAATTTTTTTCTCAGTGTCATTTGAATTGAGAAAACTTAATTTATCCTGAAATTTTATTATTTAGAATTGAATGAATGAATTTTATAATTGAATAAATAGGTACACAGTGAATATAAATATAAATTAATATAATAAAAAGTGGGAATTGGATATGTAAAAACCCAAAAAGAGTTTACATAAAGAATAAGTAAATTATAAATAAATAAATTAATAAGTAAATATAATAAGAAATATAAATTATTGTTTGTATTTATTGAATTGCTGTGACGAGAGCGAGAGTTCCGAAAAGTTAGGTTATGTAACAATTTCTAATTTAATTATACAAAAAACTTAGTTTTTCTATAATTATAAAACATCATTCATGATAAATAAAATCGTTACATACAGTATTTAATTATTAGAATTTGTAAAATAGTAATTTTTGGAGCAATAATTCTTGGTGTCGTGATATTTTTCAAAGAATTAAATATATACCTACCATATTATCTATCCAGTAAAAATTCAATTGTTCGTTATTCTTTAAATAGAATTTGCACTGTTTTTACATCTTTGATAAGTTACTTTTTTCTTTTTTTATTGTTCTCTTTATTAGAAAACAAATCTTAATTTGCGATTTAACGATTTTTGTTTACGTTAAGTAAATTCACAGAAAAAGTAATTTTACAGAAAGAAAACTCACTCAAGATTTAGGAACCAAGAGTAGTCATTTGAATAGAAGGGAATAAGTACAATTAAGTTGCTGAATAAATACAGTAGACGTCTCTGCAAAGTCGAAGACAGCTTCATCTTTTCTCATCGCCATTTTTTATTGAGGTAACTTTTTTAATGTTTTATTTCAACAAATAATTGAATTAATTTAATCAAATTGATCAAATTTAATTAAATTAGAAATTGTTACATAACCTAACTTTTCGAAACTCTCGCTCTCATCACAGCAATTAATTAAATTAATTAAATTAATTTAATTAATTAATTATCTGAATTAAATTTAATTATTAAATTTGTTATCAATTTAATTACTTATCAAAATTAGTAGTTATTTAATAATGAAATGATAGGATAGTAATTATTAGGAATTAAAAATAAAAATATAATCAGTAAAAACTTTTAGGCATATTTCATTTATTGTATACAGCATTTTTAATTTTTATTCTTTCAAAAATTGTAATAGAAAATTAGTGAAAATAATTTTTCATAATTTAAAATTTGAGATAAGAAGTAAATCCCATATTGTAAACAAGATAACGATGACCCTTGGTATTGTTCACAGTAATTGTTTTGGCTCCATCCTTGTCTATATTTTTGAGGCAATAAAAGTATGAAAGTCAAATTGGGCATTTTCCCCTTCTCTTCTTCCCAACGTGAATGAGTTTCCCTTCTCTACCTGTGTGATTTTGTTGAACCGTCGCAGTTTTCTTCGATCTGCTTTGTTGAGGTAAGCAATATTAAATTATAGATTTATTTCACTAATAAAATAAATTTTAATACATATTTCCAATTGTTTAAATTAACTGTACCAAATAAATAAAATCAAATTTTCTTAATTTTCTAGGAGATCCAAGAAATTTTCCAAACTGCAATCCATATTCGAAGAGTAGACTTCATGTTGAATTTTACGGTCATCCTTGATAAATAATTAGTAAGTACCAAAAAATATATTGTTATTTAAATTATTTTTTTCTCTCAATTTAAAATTCATAATATTTTTTAATTAATAACATCAGTTAATAAATTTATTAAGGAAAATAAAGAAATTAAATAATAAATAAAATTTTAAAAAAATAAATAAAAGCTAAGAATAAAACTTTTAATTTAAGAACATTTTTTCTAAGTGTGAATCTAGTAAAACTGATATTAATTTTCCTAAAAAATTTTTTTGGAAAGCTACTAAAATGTTTTCTCAATAAAAAATGGAACCACTTTTCATAGAACCATTAAAAAATATAGAAATAAATTCTAAGAATTTATATATTTTTTTCAAAAACATAAATATTTTTTCATTCTTTTTCCAGCAGTCATCGTACAGAGCCGCTCGAAAACTTGGAACACATCGTTTTTGTTTATCTTGTATTTTTAAAGAATATTCCTTATAAAATGCTAAAAAAAATTGTTAAAATTAAAATGTTTCACATTTCAACATAAAATTGTATTGCAAAATGTAACATAAAATTTGTATTGTCAATTATCTAGATAGGAATTTCAAAACAAAAAATGCAATTATTTTAGATAGGAAATAGAAAATTAAGGAAAAATTTTTAAGTAGGATAAAGTAATTTAAGTTCAAAGAAGATTCAAGATTCAGCAACAACTTCATCATCAAATTCATTCACCGAGGATATGGGGTGAGTCAAAAAATGAAAATGCATTTTATTTTCTTTTCTTCAAACCTATATCCAGACAAGTTCTAATTAACAAAAAAATTGAATTTTTAAAATAATTGTTTACATCAAAAGTAAAATTAATTTAGAAAATAATAAGTAAAACAATACTTTTCATTCATTAAAAAAGAAAAAATTTATCAATTAAAGAAACTTTACATCATATGCATGTAAAATAATATTTAGGCAAAAAATTCAAAACCATTTCAAAGTTAAATATAATACAATAAATTTGTTTAAGGCCAGGTTCCTCTGAAAAACGTGATTTTTTTCAATACATTTTATTTATAATACAAAAAATGTTAAGTAATAAATTTTTTTACATATGATAGTAAATACATGAAATTACTTAAAAAAATTTTTTTTTTTTCAAAATGGCGGTCTTGAAAATAATCTACTTCGTAGATGGATGACACTCTCATTTCAAAACTATTGCACTTATCGATATGAACCAAACGGCATTTTACTCTTTAGACGTCTGGCTATGGCTTCAAACAGAATTAAAAATTTTCAATAAAAAAGAACAAAATGGCTGACTTTTGAATTTTTTCAACCTTTTTTTTCACTTTTAATTGTTTATAACTTTTTTAAATAATAATGAATATTTCTGGTTCTGCTTGAGGCCATAGCCAGACATCTAACGAGTAAAATGCCGTTTGGTTCATATCAATCAGTGCAATAGTTTTGAAATGAGAGTGTCATCCATCTACGAAGTAGATTAACTTTCAGAAGCCATTTTCAAGACCGCCATTTTGAAAAAAAAAAAAATTTTTTTAAAGTAATTTCATGTATGTACTATCACATGTAAAAAAATTTATTACTTAACATTTTTTGTATTATAAATAAAATGTATTGAAAAAATCACGTTTTTCAGAGTAACCTAGCCTTAAATTAAACATATTTTCTGACATTAATATAATAAGATGTAATTCTTTATGAACCAAATATATCGATTATAATTCTTTCTACTAAGGAACATATATTAAGTTTGAAATTAATGTCAACTGCTGTACATATTATAATTTATAGCTATTGGTTATAATTTTTCCCTTACTCAGGGACAGGTACTAAGTTTGGAAAAAAATATTAGACATTTTTTATGGCAGTAGATTTGCTTTAAATTAGACTTATTAATAAAATTAAATTTTTTTAAAAAATTAATGTCAACTGCTGTACATATTATAATCAATAGCTTTTGGTTATAATTTCTCTCTTACTCCAAGACAAGTTCTGAGTTTAAAAAAAAATATTAGACATTTTATGTAGCCGCCGATTTGCATTAAATTAGACTTTTTAGTAAAATTCAAATTTTTTAAAAAAATAATGTCAACTGCTGTACATCTTATAATCAATAGCTATTGTTTATAATTTATCTCTTACTCAGGGACAAGTACTGAGTTTGGTAAAAAGTACTAGACACTTTTGATGGCTGTAGATTTGCTAAAATTAGACTTTTTAGTAAAATTAAATTTTTTGAAAAATTAATGTCACCTGCTGTACATAATCAGTAGCAATTGTTTATAATTTTTCCCTTATTCAGGTACAAGTGCTGAGTTTAGAAAAAAATATTAGACATTTTTTATGGTTGTAGATTTTCTTTAAATTCGACTTTTTAGTAAAATTAAAATTTTTTAAAAAATTAATGTCAACTGCTGTAGATATTACAATCAATAGCTATTGTTTATAATTTTTCCATTATTCAGGTACAAGTGCTGAGTTTAGGAAAAAATATTAGACATTTTTTATGGCTATAGATTTGTTTTAAATTAGACTTTTTAGTAAAATAAAATTTTTTTTAAAAATTAATGTCAACTGCTGTACATATTACAATCAATAGCTATTGTTTATAATTTTTCCCTTATTCAGGTACAAGTGCTGAGTTTAGAAAAAAATATTAGACATTTCTTATGGCTGTAGATTTGCTTTAAATTAAAGTTTTTTATAAAATGTCCATTTTTGAAAAATTAATGTCAACTGCTGTAGATATTACAATCAATAGCTATTGTTTATAATTTTTCCATTATTCAGGTACAAGTGCTGAGTTTAGCAAAAAATATTAGACATTTTTTATGGCTATAGATTTGTTTTAAATTAGACTTTTTAGTAAAATAAAATTTTTTTTAAAAATTAATGTCAACTGCTGTACATATTACAATCAATAGCTATTGTTTATAATTTTTCCCTTATTCAGGTACAAGTGCTGAGTTTAGAAAAAACTATTAGACATTTCTTATGGCTGTAGATTTGCTTTAAATTAAAGTTTTTTATAAAATGTCCATTTTTGAAAAATTAATGTCAACTGCTGTACATATTACAATCAATAGCTATTGTTTATAATTTTTTCCTTATTCAGGTACAATTGCTGAATTTGGAAAAAAATATTTAACATTTTTGATAGCTTTAGTTTTGCTTTAAATTAAACTTTTTCATAAAATGTCCATTTTTAAAAAATAATGTCAACTGCTGTACATATTATAATGAATAGCTATTGTTTATAATTTTTCCTTACTCAGGGACAAGTACTGAGTATGGAAAAAAATATTTAACATATATGATAGCTTTAGTTTTGCTTTAAATTACATTTTTTAGTAAAATTAAAATTTTTTGAAAAATTAATGTCAACTGATGTGCATATTATAAACAATAGCTATTAGTTATAATTTTTCCCTTACTCAGGGACAAGTTCTGAGTTTGGAAAAAAATATTAGACATTTTCTATGGCTGTAGATTTGCTTTAAATTCGACTTTTAAGTAAAATTAAAATTTTTTGAAAAATCTATATCAACTGCTGTACATAAAACAATCAATAGCTATTGTTTATAATTTTTCCCTTATTCAGGTACAAGTGCGGAGTTTAGAAAAAAATTAAAGACATTTTTTATGGTTGTAGATTTTCTTTAAATTTGACTTTTTAGTAAAATTAAAATTTTTTAAAAAATTAATGTCAACTGCTGTACATACTATAAGCAAAAGCTAAATGTTATAATTTTTCCCTTACTCATGTACAAGTGCTGAGTTTAGAAAAAAATATTAGACATTTTTTATGGCTGTAGATTTGTTTTAAATTAGACTTTTTAGTAATATTAAAATGTTTTTAGAAATTAATGTCAACTGCTGTACATATTATAATCAGTAGCTATTGGTTATAATTTTTCACTTTCTCAGAGACAAGTACTAAGTTTGGAAAAAAGTACTAGACATTTTTTTATGTCTGTAGATTTGCTATAAATTAGACTTTTTAGTAAGATTAAAATTTTTTTAGAAGTAAATGTCAA